GGGTTTGTGGATTTTTTTACAATGGGTTTTGGGCTCCCAGATACTACTTGACCAAGACAATGAAAGAAATCTAGCATTTCCCTAATTAAATATATTCTTTAATGGGGATTCCTAGGATAATGGCAGTGGCATTGTGTCTGCTAAGGTGAAAGCAAACCTCACAAACTCGTATCCTGTAAAAATCTCTTAACCCATTGTCCGCCTTCGAATCCAGCTTCCGACCTGACCTGTGTCATGCTATCAGTGAGACACTCAAGAACGGCAGCCGTTGTGCATTACCTCACCGTGTCACATTTATCATACGCTTCTCAGTCTTAAACTGCACTCGCTGGCCACAAACTGTTCTTTTTATCATAGCCATATATCTGAATCTCATTTTACATCAAGACTGGAAAATGTTGGGTCAGTGACCTGCTTTGCCTAGCACAATGGAACTGGGATTTCAATCTCATGCCACAAAACAAAACACTAAGATTACCTACCACTTCAAGGCATTATCACTTCAAAATCCCACCCCGCTGTCATATGCTGGGCATTCCCACTCACACCCTGTGATAACAGAGACCTTAGAAATACCCAGAACAAGAACCAAAATTATCACACAAACCCTGAAGCTGCTGAGTTGAGATTCTCCAATTTAGGTTTCTTAATTTATGCCTTTCTGCATACGAGAATACAGGGATAAACGTGGGTGATCACTGCCTGCATCACATTACCCCTCCTTTTCCAATTCCCATCTGTAATAGTTGTAGTCTCTGGTGTTCTTGTCTGTACTTGCTGGCTGGGACCCCTGAGACCAATTAGATAAAGAGCTTTGCTGACAACACGCTGAGAAATCCCTTCTAATCCCTTCTTCTGAAAATTTGAGGAAAGAGCAGGACAAAATTATGTTTCTCTTTTCCCCATAGGGAATTCAAAGGGTTCGGTCACTATTTCCCATCTCATGTGTTTTCGTGGCAAGACAAGGAAATGATACATAAAAGTCAGGTAGCCATATGACTGATGCTACTGTGGTAAGAACACGACTCAGGAAATCAGTGGTGAATTCCAACCTCTGCTACAGACCTTCTCTACAACTTTACCCAAGCCAGTTAGGGCCAGGTACTTCAAGGTACATAGGCACCTAGTGGGATTTTTAAAAGCATCTAGACACCTAAATCCAATTGAGGTCAATACGTTTTTGGTGCGTAGGTGAAAATCCCACTAAGCGCCTATATATCTTCATTTCAGCGTACGTGCATTTGATAACCTCAGTCTAAAGAGACAATAGGTGAGAAAAGCGGGGAGCCTCAGGAACCAATGAGATAATATTGGTCTATGTGATGGACAGTGCTCTAAGCAAAACACCTTCATAGTGTTGTCAAGTTTGTTTGCTAGAAATATTAGCACAGGGAAGTTTGATGGAGGTCAGTGAGGTATTTAGTAGACGTTTGCCGATGTTTTTCTCAATCATGAAGGGTAGCATGCAGAAATGTATGAAAGTACTTCTTTGAAAAGTGGATGATGTTGGTTTGTCATCACTGGCCAATTGGAGCATAGACTCATAGACTCATAGACTTTAAGGTCAGAAGGGACCATTATGATCATCTGGTCTGACCCCCTGCATGCTGCAGGCCACAAAGCCGTCCCTACCCTTTCCCTTGACTCTGCTGTTGAAGTCCCCAAATCCTGTGGCTTAGAGACTTCAATTAGCAGAGAATCCTCCTGCTAGCGATCCCTGCCCCATGCTGCGGAGGAAGGCGAAAAACCTCCAGGGCCTCTGCCAATCTACCCTGGAGGAAAATTCCTTCCCGACCTCAAATATGGCGATCAGTAAAACCCCGAGCATGTAGGCAAGATTCTCCAGCCTGACCCTCATTAACCATTATACTATTTACCTGCCATGGCACGCTGTTCCTTTGACTAAAATCACGTTATCCCATTAAACCATTCCCTCCATAAACTTATCTAGCTTAATCTTATGGAGCATGGAGTCAATGTACAAATAGTGTATGAGCGATGATTGGAAGTGTGGGAATAAACCAAGGAGGGAACTTAACTGAAGAAAAGTGGCTTATGTTTGATGCAAAAGGGACTCAGTGGAGACATACAAAGCGTGTGGTGAGATTGTCAAAACGATAAGCTAGGAAAGTGACCTTTAAAGCCAGAACGACTTCAGTGGAGCCAGATTTTCCCCTCACCTCCACTTGCGCCTTTGAATATATCCCTTTGCAAAATCAAAGAGGAAACCAAACATTTCTCCTGCATATACATCTCTATTTTTTAGATTATAAACTCTATATTCAGCAAGGATCCTTGCTTATTTGTTGTCTATCTAATGCCCAGTGGAAATGAGTGATGATCTCAGTTGGAGAATCTGAGAGTTACCAGAAATGCAGTGCTACTAGTAATGACACATAAGGACAAAGCATGGCAGGTAAATGGTAGAAACACACAGACTAAGACAGGATACAAGAGACGAGGTAAACAGGATATGCATCAGTCTTAGCAACTATAAACCCGTATTAGACTTGAGGAATCATTCATCCCTCCTGTGAGATGTGCAGATCAGTGTTACTGAGGAAGTGCCTCAGCAGAGAAAGACAGAACAAGCACCGTTGGCTGGACGTTAAAGCCAGACAAATTGAAATTAAAAACAGAGCTGGTAGAAATTTTAAAAAAATATTTTTTTTATTCTGTAAAAAAATGCAGTTCTAGGTCAGCTAAAAGAATATAGAGTGAATTCAGAAAATAGCTTTGGCTGAAAATAAAGAGTGTAAAACAATGTGAAAAATTCAGAACATTTTATTTCAACATTTTTGAAAAGAAATGTTTTCTATTTTTATTTTTAAATGATATTTTATCTCGAAATTTAGCTAGGTATTAAACATATATCCTTTATATCCAAGCAAACTGAAGTTTGTATTTTTTTTTCATTTCAGCAAGAATGACTCAAATATTTCTATTTTGGGAACAAGCTACCAAGGAAATGTTGGATTCTCCAACTCCTGAAGTCTTCTGATCAAGACTGGATGCCGTTCTGGAAGACGCGCTTTCAACAGACAGGTGTTACGAGGTTCAAAGCAGAACTAATTGGGTGGAATAATAAAGCCTGTGTTACCAGGAGACCAGAATTCACCTTACAGACCTGGCCTTACAATCTATGAAGATAGGGATGAATTTCTCTCTCCATGTCTATGTACTGCTCCTGACCCACCAAGCCCATCGGGATGCCTGACATGAAGTCATTGACCAGCCAAGTTCACACCCGTCCTGCAACTTTGCGGTTTGGCATTTTCACGAGAACCTCAAACACTTAGAACCTGCTCTACCACAGGCATCCTTCAGGGACTCTTTGATTTGTTCGTTGCGGAGAGCGTAGATGTAGGGGTTAAAGAGAGGGACCACCACACAGTACAGAAATGACAAAACTTTGTCAAAGTCCTGCACACCCCGCTGTCCTGGTTGGAGGTACCTGAAGATGGAGCTACTGTACAATATCACAACAACCAGGAGGTGAGCGGAGCAGGTGGAAAAGGCTTTTTTCCTTCCTGTGGTGGACGGGATGCGCATGATAGTGGAGATGATACAGCCATAGGAAACGATAGTGACTGTTAAAGTACCAAGTAAGATAACTGTTGCTGAAAACAAGATCATTACCTCAATGTGTCCCGTGTCCCTGCAGGAGAGTTGGAGCAATACGGCTGTATCGCAGTAGAAATGGTTTATGACATTGGGGCCACAGAACGGTAACAGCACAACCATAAATGTTGGGGGAACCATTATAAGAAAACTCATCAGCCCAGCACTAACTGGAAGCAGACCCTGCCATTCATGATGGTGCTGTAACGCAAGGGACGGCAGATAGCCATGTAGCGGTCAAAGGACATGACAGCCCCATGACAAAGCATAGAGGCGCCCAGGAAGAAGACCAACAATAACTGAAGGAAACAACCAGGGAGGGAAATAGATTTTCTCTCTGTCAGGAGGCTGTAGAGGAACCTGGGCATGACGACGGAGGTGAAGCAGATTTCTAAGAGAGCGAAGTTCCTGAGGAAGAAATACATGGGCAACTGGAGGCGATGGTCCACCAGAGAGATGGTGACAATAATGATGTTTCCCATTACAGTCAACAGGAAGACATCTAATAGAACCGCAAACAGGATGATGTTGACGTGGTGGTTGTTGGACAGTCCCACAATGATGAATTCCACCACTGTGGTCTGGTTCGTCATTCTTGGTTCATCTGTAAAGACAAATTAAAAACATCTCAAAACCAGAGCTGCTTGGACAATAGGGACAGAACGCTTAGAGGACAAATCTGTAAATAAATAGAATGAATCTCTTCAATGGGAATTGGGAGCCTGTGGCGGGGCGACGACTCACCGTCGCAGCACCTCCTGCTGGTCGTCTAGGGAATTAGCTCTTCCCAGTCTGGAGCGCCCTCTGCAGGCTGGTGTCCTGCCTGCCACTGGCCCCGTGTCCCTCCAGGACCCCGGTGCCCCTCTATGTCAGGGTCCTTCCCCCAGCAGTAACCCGCAATTTGGGTCTCCCCACCCAGGGGATCCCCCAACCTCCTATCCCCACCTTGCCTCAGTGGCTACTGCCAGTCACCATCTAGCCCCCGCTCCCTGGGGCAGACGCAGTCTGTAAACCACTCCTCATCGGCAAGGGGGGTTGGACCAACTGCCTCTGCCTATTCCTGGGATGCCCCTCTGCAGCCCCAGTACCTTTCGTGGGCCCTTAACTCGGCCTGGAGCCTGGGGCTTTGCTAGGCTGCGGCTCCCCATCTCCCTCTGCCCTTCCCCAGCACTGCTCCACCCTAGGTACCCTGCTCAGCTCCCCAGCAGCCAGGTCCTTCTCTGCCAGGAAGCGAGAAAGGGAGTGTCTCCAGCTCCTGGCCCACTGCCCTCCTATAAGGGCCAGCTGGGCCTTGATTGAGCTGGCCACAGCTGCGGCTGCTTCCTTAATCAGCCCAGCTTTTCCAGTTGCAGCCCTCTCCAGGGCTGCTTTGAACCCCTGATTACTGGGGTGGGGAGTCACCCCATCACAATGCCTAACAAACATGGGCTCAATGAAACAATCCCGATAGAAAAACTAAAACCAATTACTGATAGCTGGAGAGAAGGGGGAGAACTGGAGAGAAAGGGAGAATGAAAATTTCTTCTTTTAAAAATTCATAAATTTTACTTCAATTTTTCATACATGAAAAAGGCCAGAAGGAACCAATGTGAACATCTGTTCTGACCTCCTGTACAGAAGAGAGCGAGGAACTTCCCTGAACTAGCTACTGTTAGAACTAGAGTGTCGCTTTTTAAAAAAACTTCTAATCTTTATTTTAAAATTTCCAGTGATGGACAATCCATCAAGTTGTTCCAATGATTACATACCCTCACTGTGAAAGTTTTGATTGTTTGTTTTCTTACAGGTCATTGATACAAATATTAAAAAGTACAGGTCCAAGAATCAAACCCTGTGGGACCCCACTAGAAACACCCACACTCAATGATGATTGCCCATATATAATTCCAGTTTGAGACCGTTCAGTACCCACCTTTTAGTCCATTTAATCTGTGCCATGTTAATTGTGTATCATTCTAGTTTCTTAATCACAATGTCAAAAATGAAATAAAAAATAGTCCCTGTATTTAAAAAGGGGAAACAAAGAGGAGCTGTGGAATTTTAGACCTGTCAGCCTAACTTCTATACCTAGAAAGATACTGGAACAAATTATTCAACAATCAAGTTGTAAGCATCTAGAGGATATTAGGGTGTTCAATCATAGCGAACAAATTTCTCAAGAACAAATCAAGCTAAATCAATCTAATTTCCTTCTTTCATATGGTTACTGGTCTGGTGGAGAGTTGGGAAGCTGTAGATGTGATATATCTTGATTTTAGTAAGGCTTCTGACACATAAGAACATAAGAACGGCTATACTGCGTCAGACCAAAGATCCATCTAGCCCAGCATCCTGTCTTGCGGCAGTGGCCAATGCCAGGTGCCCCAGAGGGAATGACCAGAACAGGGAATCATCCAGTGATCCATCCCCTGTCGCCCATTCCTTGCACATAACATTCGCATAAGCAAAATAGGGAAATGTGGTTTAGATGAAATTACTGTAAGGTGGGTGCAAAACTGATTGAAAGGCTGAACTCACAAAGTAGCTAGCAGTGGTTCAACGTCAAAGTGGGGGAAAGTATCTAGTCAGGTCCCATAAGCGTCTGTCCTGGGTCTAATGGAAGAGTAGACAAACACCTGTCAGGCATGGCCTAGGTTTACTTAGTCCTGCTTCAGCTCTGTGGATGGATTAGATGACCGCTCAAGGTCCCTTCCAACCCTACATTTCGGAGAGTCTGTCTCATTTGTACCACCTCAAATGCTATTCAGAAGGCCAAACGGAGGACATCAACATTATTACCTTTATAAACCAAACTTGTGATGTCACCAACAAAAAACATATCAGGTTAATTTGACAGAATCTATTTGTCATAAGCCCATGCTGATTGGACTTAATTCTTTTCCTCTCATCTACTGCCATACAGATTGAGTCCCATGATTTGCCCAGCATCTATCTCAGGCTCACAGAAGTTTAATTACCTGGCTCATCCCAGTTACCCCTCCTTTTCCACCATTAGACGTGTGAAGAGGACATTTGGGAATTCAGGCTGCCACCACTGTCTTGGATGTGAATTACTTCCTGCCCACCCCACTCTGAAATCAGATACTACAGCCAATAGTGATGGATAAGTATCTTTGAGAGCATCTTTCTGCTAAAGGGACAGGTGGCAAGATAGACACCTATGCTGGCACTAAAAATAACTTTCTTGGTATTCATAATCCCATTGAAGTGAATGGGAGATCTTCATCGTTCTCTCCAAGTTATTTTTTCCAGCCTGTCTGCAGATTCAGGTAAACATTACAAATTAGCTTAGTAATTCCTTAGAAGTTCCTGGCTTCATTCCCTTCCATCACAGACACCCAACGCCTCCTCTTCAATTGACCAGACATGTCGTTTGAATGGCTACATTTTATATCAGTTGGATCACCCTGCTTAGATCTTCAGGGTCTGA